TATAAAATTATTTCCAAAGTTCTTGAGAGCTATCTTCTAAGGTCCAGTCTCTGACAGTGGGCAAGCTCAGTGCTTCGCTTTTGACCGACAAGGAGTTCACCAACTCACAGTGGAACTTGCGGATGTGTCTGTACAGGTCTCCGGACTGCGTGAACCTGCGCTCGCACCACTTGCAGGCGTGAGGCTTCTCGCGGGTGTGCACCACGGCGTGGCGGCTCAGGTTGTGCGAGTACTGGAAGCTCTTGCCGCACTGGGTGCATGTGTAGGGCTTCTCCCCCGAGTGAGTCCTCTCGTGGCGCTTGAGGGTGTACATACAGGAGAAAGTCTTCCCACACAGCGAGCACGTGGGCACGTTGACATCGGCGGCGGGCTTGCTGCGGATGCCGTCCTGCTCACGGAAGTGCGTGCTCAGGTGGATCTGCAGGATGTGGGGGCTGGGGAAGACTTTGTTGCACAGGGGGCACATGAAGATCTGGCCCGCGGGGCTCAGGATGTTGGAGACATAGGGGAGCAGCCCGCTCTCCATGCCCCCCTCCACCTGGACGCGCTCGCTCTCGGGGGTCATCATCTCGTCATCACTGGCTTTGTCCTCCCGATCCAGCTCCCTCAGGACCGAGTCCTCCCTCAGCGGAGCCAGGTGGGCCGGCTCATACTGTACCCTGTTGTTAGTGCTCACACTCTCTTTCACAGTGCTATGTTCCATGTCATAGTCATTAGTGCCAACATCACTGTCATCACAGGACGCCTCTTTCTCCACCTTCACCTGCACCAGGTTGCTTCTCAGCACGTCCTGTGAAGAGAAATAAGAGCTGTTCAGATTTTCAACTCCTGAAAGGCTGGACTTGACAGACAGGTCCAGCACACAGTCAACATCTGCCGAATCCCTCACGGAGGTGACAGACCTCTGGGACAAAGACTCTGTTGAGCTGCAGGGGCTGGCTACTGTTTTTCCAGCTGCTGTGGCGTGTGGCTCGGCCTCTCCGCCAGCCTGGGGGATGCCTGCTGAGTCTGAGGGCAATCGCATCCACATGTTCCCAGGCTCCGCCGACAAGTCCCTCTTGCTGGGCAGGATGTTCAGTTTCTCCTCTTCACCTTCATCTTCATCACTGGGCAGGTCGCCTGCCATGTGGCTGCTGCCATCTGAGAGGCTCTCGACTTTGTCGGAACAACTTGAAGCGTCTTCTTCCTTTTTGGTGCTGTCGGCCTCGGTGGTGGCTTTCTCCTTCAGCTTCTTTTTGCAGACTTTGACAATGTCATACATGTGGAGATAACTGGCAGCTGCTAGCACGTCTTCAATGGGCAAGTCTTTGAACTGGAGTTTCCCTTCATACATGAATTCAAGCAGGAGAGCAAAAGCGGGGGCTGTAACAATGTCGCTGTTCAGATGAACAATGTCTCTTTTGTCCAGCTGGTCCTTGTAAAAGAGGTGGAAATACATGCTGCACGAAGCCAGTACAGCTCGGTGCGCGCGGAACTGGGCATCTCCCACCAGAACGGTGCAGTCACAAAGAAAGCCCTGGTGCCGCTGCTCGCTCAGACACTGCAGCAAATGTCTACTGTGGTCTGGAAACTCCATACTGTCTTCATAACCTGGGGAAAGAGGAGGTTTTCATTAGAGCCTGGTCAGGAGCCGTTCAGTGCTGTAGTACCCACTTAAAAAAATTCCGCCTTGGCCACTGAGGTACACGTCTCTGAATTTTAATCAGGCTCACAACCCAAGGACTACCAAATCACACTGGAGAGACCCAAATAAAAGAAGAGAAATACACACTTGCCTGGGACTTCCTTCCCCTCCCTGAACTTCTAGGCAAGTTTAAAGACTTCCTTTAACTACAGCCTCTCACAGGGAAGAACTCAAACCTCTTCCAGAAGAAATTTCACTAACTACTCATCAAGTTACATCCCACAAAACCTACAAGAGCTTTAACTTCAAAGGGAACAACTCACACTAACAAAGGAAAAGTCTCTCACAGATTCTGGAAGAGTGGAGAAAACTTGGTCAGCCATTTTTTTTATTACTTTTCATACCTGACTATACTTAGAAAGCACAGTTTAAACACACACATTTGGCTGAATCAAGAAAAAAAATGAAACTGCATAATTAGTCCAGAAATCAGCAAACAAGTTACTTTTAAAGTCAGAGTGTTACAACAACAAAAGCCCTGTATATAAAAACAGATGTTAATGCCTTACGATTTGCAGGTATGCCACACATGCACGAGATCAGGAGGAACTACACCAACAGATGGGAGAGATCATCTTTACTATGAACAAATCTGAAGATTTTTTTAAATGAATTGGGGGGGGGTTCTGTTTCTTTGTAGAATCTGTACTTCAACAATCTTAGCAACTAGAGGGGCTGTGTTTAACTGATAATTCTCATCTAAACTTTGATCTGCGGCAAGGCAATACAAGCTCTCCATTAAAATTAATCAAACTTTTGGAAATAAAGGCATACCACTATGTAATGAAATGCAAACGATTTACAAGCTCAATATTTAGGTTTCTTTAAAAAAAAAACAACTTTTTTTTTCTAGCTCTGCCTTACCTCACTAACAAAATACTTTGTTCCAATAAAACTTGATATATTTTGTTTTCCCAGTAGCTTCTCTTCTTTCAATTATGCATCTTTGCCTTGTTTCCTGGCAAGGGAGGGAAGGCAAAGCAAGGCTCAAAATTCAACTGTAGTGGCTAAACGCCTTTAGAATAAAGAGAACCAACTTCCCCTATCTGTGACCAGATGCAAGGCTCCACGCCACTGTCTCAAGTGCATCTGAAGATGGATAGAAGCTAACATTCACAAACGACTTCCCTCCTTCTCCACACTTTGCTGAGATAGAGTGAAACTTTTGTCCTAATCCCAGATACCTTTGGAAGACACCACCACTAGAATAAACCAAGATTTACAATACAATCACTTTAAGTGCCCCACAGCTACCATCAATCCTAATCCTTCAGAGGGCTAAAAATAAAGATTGGAGGGCAGCTCACAAGGTAGCCGTGATCAAATTAGGAGGCTGAGAGGACAGAGAGGGCCGAAGAAGGAAGCTTATGAACATCTGATCCAGCTGACTGTGGCCATATGGCAGCTGCTGCCCAGATAAAGAGATTAAGAATAGAGGAGTGCGATTACAGCTGTCTGGCCAATTCAGGCAGCTCAAATCTACAAGTTCTAAATTAGTCGCTAACACAAAAACTCCTGCAAATAATTATTGTTATGCTGAAATAAAAGATCTCTTAAATATATATATTTGAAAGAGAAATGAGGAAACCACTCAAACTATTCTCCTGGGGACAAAAAGTTTTTCTTTTTCTTTTTCCTTCTTTAAAAACAAAACAAAACAAAAAGCCCTCTGGTTTCAAAAGCACTACAGCTGTATGTTTCTTTCAGCAGGGCTGCCGAATGTTTTGAAGAATAAAGTTTCACAGTGGAATTAATTACACAACAACCTAGCTTCTTAACTAGAATAATCGTCTCGTGTAAGTTTGAATGCTGGCCTCCACAGTTTACTATTCCTGCCCCCCTCAAGCAAAAGGAATCTAAACAGCAGTGCACAACAAAGGGCGTTTTAATCCAAAGTGATCTCAAAAAGCCATATTCCAAAGCCTTTCTTACCATCTGAAAACTTGAAATATTTCTGTGTATTAAAGTTATTTACTTGCTTAAGTAGAAGGAATCAAAACTAAAACCAAGCAAGACCAAGACGTTCAACTCCAGTAAGACCATCACTTCATAATTTCACATCTTATTCTGAAACTGGATTAGAAAAGTAATGTGATTTTTAAAAATAAAATGAAATAAAACACCAAAACAGAAAGATGCTCAATCTAATCTCTTGCTACTCCTACCTTTAGGACACATAAACTTGATTAAGTCCTTTCCTCTGAGTCTTGCTGGCTCCAGGTCTGTTACATCGGTGGAAAAAAAGCAGACTAAGAGAGACAGATGCAAAGTGGAGATGATGTTGGAGAGAAATGAGATACCTTCTCCACCACAGATCCGCACACACTAACTCCCTGTCTGTGTGTTAGAATAAAAGGCTGAGGGATGGCAGGCTGTCAGCTGCTCTGACATCATGTTCAGATGGAAATGCTACCTCCAGCTGTGCTCCTTTTAATGCCATATGCTACCCCCCTACACTCCTGCCACCAGCTTTTTCTTAGGAGAACTTTTCTCTTCTGTTAGTATAAACAAAATACTTCAAAGTCTTCCTTTTTCCCCCCCAAACTTTCTAACAGAAGAAATTGAAAAACTCAACATATGGAGTTCTACTGTATTTATGGAATCGCAACACTTCTGTCTTAAGTTGGTGGACTGGCTTACATATGACAGCACACTCAAGCCACCGTGCTATTCAGGAAATCCAGACTCACTTTTATTCAACTCCAACGTCTAGTTTCAAAGGCAGCTCAGGGATATTTTTAAACCAATCCATTTGACATCTCCAGTCCCATTTCAACATTATTACCACATGTTTTTTTAACTGCGGAGATGATAGTAGACATCTCCCCAATGTTGGCAGACTTATTAACCACTACTTCAGCCTGGCTCACCTTATTATTTCACTCTTACTTAGCAACCTATCTGCCACTACCTCTCAGGAAAATATTTCACACTGCCACAGTTCATGCAAATTTCAATTCTCAGTATCAACAAGCTGAAACTGCACTTTCTGAAATCCTGGAAAGTATTTCAGTTTAATGAGACAAATTAATAAACTGAAAGAACCCGCCACAGGCACTAAAGACCAATGTTTGACTAGCACATCTGGTCTGTCTGTTCAGAAAAGGCAGAACTTTTTCTTCTCCATCTCTCTCTTTGGGGCATTAGGATCGCAAGGAGGGGAGGGAAGCTAGTGGTAGACACAGGGAACTTTTCTGGCTGGAGTTTGTGGGTCTTTTCTAGTGGCTGATGAAATGGTAATGTAACCGGGCTGGGCCACGGGTGCCCTGCAAGGGGCTGAGACATCTCATGTCAGGCACATCTCCACAGACTCATGGGAGGGTGAGGAGTGGAAAAGGAATCAGGGACTGAGGAGCCAGCGTCCCAACTCCGGCGACATCCACTATGTTCTCCTTAAGAGAACCAAAGAAGCCCCTACGACTGTGCCCTGCCTTCGCTCTCCCAGTCAAACCTAACTTTCTCTAACTTCGTGGTGAATGACACGATTCTTAACGCTCGTTCAGGGGCATTCGATGCCGATCAACTACTTCCCAGCCACACACCCTCTTCTCCGCAAATACCCTTGCCCCATTCCAACATATCCGACATTAATCACCCCATTTACTCTGTGGGGTGGGGGGTGACAGTTTAATGAGCCCCAAGCACCGCAATGGCCGGGCGACTCCCACTCCACCAATCAACCCCTCCACATCTCGCTACCGCGGATCCAGGGTTTTGTGAGCTTTGGGGTTTTGTTTTCCAGGGGTGGGGGCGGGGTGGCCCGGGGTGCGTGCGTGCGTGTGTGTGTCTGTGTTAGGGGGTGCGGGGGGAGGAATGCAAATCTCCGCGCAGTTCGCCGCGCATAAAGCACACACGGAAAAGAGGAAGGGTTAAGGCCCGGGGAAGGAGGTGGCGGGCGGAGAGCCGGTGCAGCAGGGAAACACCTTCCACAACAGCCGAGAAAACAGACCCGGGTCACCGCAACAACAAAAGAAAAGTCGTAAGAAGCGGCGGCGGCGGCGGCAGCCCGCCGAGAGGGAGGAGGGTGGTTGCTACCGCTTTCCCCGACGCCGCCGCGCGCGAGCCCCCGGGGCCTCCCGGCAACCGCAAGCGGCCCGGGTGGGGCGCCCTCCTCCCCCCCG